AGCTTTGATCACAAAAATAAATTACAGTTTACGATATGTTCACATAGAAAACAGCTGTTTAAAATTGTAATAATATTTCAGGATTTTACTGATTTTACTGTATTTTTGATGCAATCAATGCAGCCTCGGTGAGCAGAAGTGACGTCTCTGTCTTTCTCCCCGCAGCACCAGTTCCTGAAAGCGGCCAAGCCTCTGTCCAGCCTCACGCCGCTGATCATAGCAGCCAAAGAGGCGGCCAAAAACAACCGCTAGCCTCTACGGGACGACTCCCGGCCCCACCTGTCCTCCGCCCCGACCCCCAGAGCTCCCCGTCAGCCGTCTCTCTCTCTCTCGCCCCGCGCAGGAGCTCTCATGCCGAGGGTTCATCCGCCCCTCGCCCTCTACTGCTGATGTTTTAGGGTCCGAGGGGCGTCTGCGCTCACTGCTGTGGTCACCGAAAAAGATGACTCTGAATGATGACATCACTGGAAACAAAGGGCCACGGTGCGTCAGGCCCAAAGCATTATGGGGGATTTCCCCCGGCTGACTCTCTCTGGGTCTCACTGTCAGTTTTTCTGTTGCTTTTTTTTTTTGTCGTTTACTTTTGTGTTCAGATCATGGGAACATGATTGATGTTTTCATGTGTGTATTTGTTGGGGTTTTCGTTCATTTTATAATGTTTTCTGTGTGTGTGTGTGTGAGCGAGTGTGTGTGCGTTCGCCGGGTCATAGATTAGCTGAGATTGCGACAGAAAGATCTCGTCTGATGTACGTTTTTTTGATATTGCAACAGACTATTGATTAAGGTACTATGAAGGATGCTTGTGCATGAAGAGACTGCATTTCTGATGATGAAACTATCACCTGAGGTCCATTCTGTCCCATAATTCCTCCACATGTCGGAAACCCAACAAAACATGACTGCATTACGATGTTTTGTGTTTGCCATAAACATTAATAGAATTGAAATGTTCTGATATTACGTTCACGTACCCTTGGGCCTTAAACTGTGACGTGAATAGTAGGACGTATGAAGACGGCACAACACACGAAGATGCAATCTGTCACCATTCGGATTCTTTCAGTGGACTGATGGGATTTATTTAGAAGAGAATCTTTCCTGTAAGCAATCAGTGTGTTTCTGCGAACCATAAACTCTTTATAAGGCCTTTTGATGAATTGAAATTCTTAATTGAAATGGGACGAATAAACTTCAGAATGAATTACAGTGTCCAGGTGATCTTTTCGTAAATGCGGTGTTGCTAAATGTGTCCCAAAATGCAATGCTCTCAACTTGAACTTTGTGTTTAATAACTTTTTTATTATATTATGATCTTTTCATCTCTTGTTTGACTCATTATTTTTTATTGAATTCAAAGAGTTTGAATGTAAAAACGTGAAAAAAACCTTACATTACTTTTTTTTTTTTTTTGGTTTATCTATTTTTGGATGGTGGACATATTGATTTATTATCGTTATTATTATTATTATTATTATTGGTAAAAGTTAAAGCATTTTTACACAAAAATAAGTTTAAAAATAATAAATTAACCAACATAATGAGGAAATTTTTTTTATTTTATATTATTGGTACACGTTAAAAAAATTTCTACACAAATTTATATTTAAAGACAAATAATAAGTCATTAAATAACCATGTTAATTTTTGAGATTATTATTGGACTACTCTGGAAATAAGGATAAAAATAAAATAAAAAAAAGACAAATAAAGGTAAAAGTTAAATTTGATTTATTTTTTATTTATTTTTCTGAGATTATTATTAATTGGACTGTACTCTGGAACTAATGATGATTTGTATTTGTATTTATTTATTTATATAACTTTTTTTTATAATCATAGGTAAAAGTTTAAATATTTTTACACAAAATTTGATTTAAAGATTAAATAACTATATTTATTTCTGAGATTATAATTGGATGTTAGTCATAATGAGGATTTTCTTTAAAAAAAGAAGAAAAAAATAAAAAGGTGAAAAAAACATTTCAACAAAAAATACACGATAATTCAATATAGTTGTCTTGTATAATTTAAATATTAATATAGCTGAAATATAAATATTCTGAGATGATAATTGTACTGTACTCTGCACATGAGGAATATTGTCCTTTGTAACTGCATACTGCAATGCGCTCGTTTTCCATTCCGAACACAGTCACAGTTGACCTGAAACTAAATGTCTGTGCTTGTTTTGAGTATGTTTCTGTACTCTGCTTATCATTCACAAAGATGTGCTTATATGGAGTCAAATAGGTTTTAACTTCGGTTTGCATTCATCTTCTCATTTCTGTGCATTTTCAGGATTACTGTACTTCCGTCACGCACTTCTGAGATGATTAGCTGGAAAGAGCACCAGAGACCTGCTCACTGTTATAAAACACTGCAAAACAGCCGTTATGAAATGCTTGCAGTGTTTGAACAAAATGTTCTTTCCACTGCTGGCTATTTGTGAGAATAGCTGGATTGTGAAAGGATTAGTTCACTCAAAACCTGGCTTTTACTCACCCTCGTGTTGTTCCGAACCCATATTTTCTTCTGTGAAACACAAAAAGCGACGTTACACAGAAAATCTGCTGCTCTTTTCCATGCAACAAAAGTGCAAGGTGATTTATGCTGCAAAAATACAGGAATCATCTGAACTACTTTTATGGTACATACAGTACCACAGGAGGGATGTTTTTGTCGTATTTGAAACCTGACAACAAGTTTGAAAGTTTGGAGCAATATAAAGACGAGTAAATGATCTGAGAGTTCTCATTTTTGGTTAAACATCCCCTTCGATATATGCGCTTTAGTTGTATTTGAAGCTTAACAAAATCATTTCTATGAAAATTGCACTTTTTAAGCATGATTACCAGAGAAAAGCCCTTTATAGTGGAAATTTCATAAAACATAGAGGAGATATGTATGAATTATTATGCAATGAAATGGCATTCGATAATCCTGATCTGAAAAAACAACATTACAAGTCATAAAATGCACAGAGATGAAGCCACACGCTAATCTCTAACCCAACAATCAATGAGAAGATTGTCTATTTTTAAAAACAATCTGATTATTAACGTTCTTCGACGTTTAAGCTGCTAGGGTTTTGGATTTTGGGATGTGGACCGGACCAATCTGGATGGCTAATACTTAGTTTTGTAATGCAGCAGATTGGTTGCTTGTTTGGCATTGGGTTATTTTGCAGATGACTTTTATCTAAAGCAATTTACGGTTTTTTGACTCCATGGCTGGAGCTCCAGGGGTGTTTAATTGTGTTCCTCTGCAGCGCTGCAGAGAGAGAATGAGGCTGAAACCCAGCAGAGCCGTCCTCATGAGCGTTTATGTAAAGGAGTGATTGGAACGCCCCCCGTCGCTTCTCTCCTTATTCTCGGTGCAGTCATTTCTGAGGCACTGCTGAGATGGCGTTTAATGGCTTGGAAATCTGCCAGTGCCACACAAAACACTGGGAAGACAGGATTCCAGTGAAGGTTTGAGGAAGAACCTTGAGCTCTCGTTGTTCTGGAATGTTTTCAGCTTTTAAAAACTGGAACTTTGATACAAAGTAACTTGTAACAGAAAACATGGAACTTTGGCACAATGTAACAAAAGCCTGATCCTGATTCTAAGATAATGCAATCATATTAAGGAAGCTTTGAAATATTCTGTTATGTGAGCTGTAGTTGGAACTCTTAAAAATAAAGGTTCTTTATTGACATTGATGGTTTGATGTAGAACCTTTAACATCCATTGAACCTTTCCATTCCACAAAAAGTATTTGATAGGTTTTTCATGTTACCACCAATGCCAATAAAGAACTTTTATTTTTAAAAGTATAAGTATTTGCATTGATGTTTCTGCTAAGTGACAGGTAGCAATAATAACAAAAAGCGTTCTGTGTGTCTAGATAGAATAATCTTAATCGAAGTTAAATGATAAAGGTCCAGAAGTTTCATCAAAGTTAGGTCAAAATTAAATCCAAATCCAACAAAATGTGAGTGCTGTATTTATTGTATTTTACTGAAACACTGACATTTCCAGACCTTTCACTTAATAAATGGAGCCTTTTTAGCTCAAAAGAGGCTAGAAGCACTGTATTTTTGTAAATCAGGATGATGTGTTTATATACAAAACACGGAAACTTGTCTTAAAGCCACACAGATTCCAGTGCAGAGGTGATCATTCAGGTTGTATAAGCGTTTACTGTGAAGTACTGGATGTGGAAACCACATATACTGTACACATTCCTCAAAATGAATCATGAATAAGGAAGAAAAAGCCAAACACACCATTGGGTTTAATGCATTGAATTAAAGTAAATTTATGCATGATTTGTTCATTAACTAGAAAGAGCATCCAGGAATCCTTTCAAAACATGAAACATCTGGGATTTTGCGAGTTGAGCAGACAGCTCTTTTTATGAGAAAATATAAATCTGTTTCTGAAAGCTAATAAAAAGCCACCTGACCTCATATTTGTTACCGGTAACACTTTTTTTTAATACTGCTAACAATCACGGAAATCTAGGCTTTTGCTGAAAATGTACACACTCGAGTTTGTTTCTTCATGGGAACAGATTTGTAGTAATTTAGCATTCCATCACTTGCTCTGCAGTGAATGGGTGCCGTCAGAATGAGAGTCCAAACAGCTGATAAAAACATCACAATAATCCACAAGTAATCCACACCACTCCAGTCCAGCAAGTAACGCCTTGTGAAGCAAAAACTGCGTGTTTGTAAGAAGCAAATCCATCAGTAAGACGTTATTAACTTCAAACCTTCACTTCTGGCCAAAATGCGAGTCCATAATTCATAATAACGCTTCCTCCAGTGAAAAGGTCCATCTTCTATTGTCTCTCACATCAAAATCCATGCACCCACATTTCTGTTTAAAACAGTTTTGAACTGATTCAGACCAGACCACTTTTTCACAGGAGAAAGCAATATTATGGATAGAGGACTCGTATTTTGGCTGGAAACAACGGTTTGAAGTTAAAAATGTCCTTATGGTTTGGACTTTCATTCTGACGGCACCCATTCACTGCAGAGGAGAACCATGAATAGGTAAACATAATGCGTTATAAATTAGATCAAAAGGATTTGGGACTAAATATAATGCATTGAAATTATGTATAATAAGGTATCACAGTGAATTATGTGTGCATCAGAAACATAGACTGCCAGAGGGTAATCAACACCAAAATCTTGTTTCTCGTCCTGCGCTATGAGAGCTGAATTACATAAGAGTGATCGATACCCTTGAGCTCACTGGAGTCCCTGCATCAGCAGCACTGCGGTAATGCGAAACCTTCAGCATGGACTCACAGCTTCACACGTCAGTAACGGTGCATGTGTCTTCATCCGTCACAGGCAGCGTGTTGTGGTGCTGATGGTGAGCACACTGTGAGCGTGTACAGATGCGCTCACTGCAGCACAGACTGCCTTCACTCTGACACACCGCAACATCACAGACACACACAGGTGAGCCTTTCATGCGGTTTCATTTCATAACTGCTGGATTACACTGTATATGAATGTTGCATACGCAGCGTTTGCTTGCACTTTACATGATACAGTAGTGTTATATATATATATATATATAAAGGAATGTAAAATTGAATTTTGCCCCCCATATATTTCAATCCAAGAAAATTAACATATGTCACATTTGAAGAAAAACTTTGTTGTCTATAAAATGTAGGAACATATAGCATATTTGAGTAAAACTTAATATACATGCTTCAGCATGGACTCACAGCTTCACACGTCAGTAACGGTGCATGTGTCTTCATCCGTCACAGGCAGCGTGTTGTGGTGCTGATGGTGAGCACACTGTGAGCGTGTACAGATGCGCTCACTGCAGCACAGACTGCCTTCACTCTGACACACCGCAACATCACAGACACACACAGGTGAGCCTTTCATGCGGTTTCATTTCATAACTGCTGGATTACACTGTATATGAATGTTGCATACGCAGCGTTTGCTTGCACTTTACATGATACAGTAGTGTCTATGTTGCACATATGCAGTGTTTATTAATTGCAATATAAACAACTGTTTAACCATGAATAGCTGTTGCTTGTTTTAATGATATGTTATATTTAACATGTTTCATGTGTTAATTAGTTTGCATTCAATTAGGATTGTCTATCAGTGTTGATCTGCAATGTTCATCACACTTTATCTTACAGCCTTACTGTGTATTTAATTTAAGTAGAGATGTTGCATATTGTTATTGCTATATTAATTAAGAATAGCATCATGTAATAACGGACACTGTAAAATTAAGTGTTTC